GGCGTAGGCGAGATGTCCGTTCGCTGACCAAAGGGCGGGTGTACTGCGCAGCAGTTCGCTCCGTTCTCCTATATGGACGCGAAACATGGCCGTTAAGAGTAGAAGATATTCGTAGGTTACTAGTATTCGATCATAGATGTTTAAGAAGCATTGCTCGTCTATCGTGGGACACCCGAGTAAACAATGCTGTCGTTAGGAAACGGGTGCTAGGTAAGGATGGCAGTTCAGTAGATGAATTACTGAAACTTCATCAGTCTGAAGTCTATTTCACTAGATTCTTGAATAATAACACCTTTTAGTCAGTCAGTTGCAACGTAGAACTTCGTACGTATGTACATAAGTTCATGTTGACATACCACATAAGCACAGAGACGTAAATGTTAAATCAAATCCCATAGTGATAAAGATAGTAGAGTTATTAATGTTAATAAAGAAGACTAGAGTTCGAAGATATTATTCAAAAAATATAATTAAGTGAGATAAGGTTAGAAAGACAAAGGTAGAGGTGCTGACGATTCCAGAAGATTAGGATTTGAGAGAGCTCAAAGAGTGGATGCACCTGCGCCATTGCAAACGATTTTGAGCCATGTCGTTCAATGTCTCTAACCATTGATGACTTTCGTCTCGCGGGCACCAACCAGGTAGTCTACATCTACCAACATGACTCAGTCCACTAGTCAGTGACTTCATGGACTTGTGTCATGTTTTGGTCTGGCCGCCCCTATCATTCTTCCAACCTATTCCTGCATGGCAAAACATAGCTCGACGAGGCAGTCGGTGGTTAGGCATGCGTAACACATGTCCTAACCATCTCAACTGATGAAGTTTCAGTAATTCATCTACTGAACTGCCATCCTTACCTAGCACCCGTTTCCTAACGACAGCATTGTTTACTCGGGTGTCCCACGATAGACGAGCAATGCTTCTTAAACATCTATGATCGAATACTAGTAACCTACGAATATCTTCTACTCTTAACGGCCATGTTTCGCGTCCATATAGGAGAACGGAGCGAACTGCTGCGCAGTACACCCGCCCTTTGGTCAGCGAACGGACATCTCGCCCTACGCCATACGTGACGCAGGTTGGCAAAAGCCAATCGAGCTTTCTGTATCCGAGCTGAGATTTCGTCAGTCACCAGACCGTCAGCACTGATGAGACTCCCCAGATAAGTGAAGTGATCTACACGCTCGACTACTTCACTCCCTATCACTAGTTCAGGTGCCGATGCAACCCAATCTTGAAGCAACATTTTGCATTTCGAGGGTGAGAACCGCATCCCGAACATGCTCGCATTGTTGCTTATGGTAGTCAGAAGACTCTGCATTTTGTCAGCGTCTTCACCGAATAGAACTATGTCATCGGCATATTCTAGATCAGTAAGCGAATTTCCTGGTAGAAGGTCAACCCCTGAAAAATCTGACGAGCTTAATGTTAACTCTAAGAGGATGTCTACGACAAAGTTAAACAAGAATGGAGAGAGTGGACATCCCTGACGGACACCACTTGATGTAGAGAATTCAGACGACAGTTCACCATATGCTCTCACCTGACCAGTGGTGTTCGAGTAGAGTGCTTGTATAAGGTTAATGTACTTCTCTGGTACACCTTTCAATGACAGACACTGCCACAGAACCTCACGATCCACTGAGTCGAATGCCGCCTTAAGGTCCAGGAACACGACTATCGTCGGACGCCTAAATGTGTGTCTGTGTTCCAGGACCTGTCGTAGTGTGAAGACGTGGTCTATACAACCACGTCCAAGTCGAAAACCAGCCTGGTTTTCTCAAGTCTGCTCTTCACGAGCTCTAGTTAGACGTCTAAGTATAATCGAGGCTAACAATTTAGAAACTATATTAGTTAAACTTATTCCCCTGTGATTGTCACAAGAGGACTTCTGTCCTTTCTTGTAGATTGGGACAATTAACGACTGAGACCAGTCAGATGGGATTACGTCCATTTCCCAGATTCTACCTAGGATCTCGGTCAGTCTAACCGTTAAAATTGGACCACCATACTTAAACATCTCAGGGGTAAGCCTGTCGGGACCTGCCGCTCTACCTCTCCTTAGATTTCCTATAGCTTTCTCAACTTCATGTAAACTGGGAGGACCTAAATTGATTTGCCATTCAGGGTGACTGGAGATCGTGGGCAACCGAAGTGTGGCTGAAGGCCAGTTGAACTGATCCCTAAAGTGTTCTGCCCATCGGTCCAGCCTCCTAGATTGAGAATGGATAATAAGACCATCCTTTTCCGAGATAGTCTCACTCACATTCGGGTTCCTAATACCGGTTTCTTCAATAAGGCGGAAAAGTTGTCTACTGTTGCCTATCACCGCTGCCTTTTCCATCGATTTTGCTTTCGCCACCCACCACTGTTCACGGTCGTTACGTAGGCTTTTTATAAGTCTGCGCCTAAGCTGACTACGCTCTTCATCATGTTCAGAGTCAGGTGGGATGCGTTTTCGAGCATCCATCAGTTCGGTGGATGCAACTGAAATCCACTGCTTCATCCTAGCTTGTGGTTTACCTTGCTAGCAGATATCACTGCTGTTTCTACAGCCGTTTTGATATCATTCCAACCTGATTCCGTATGGGAATCACTTGCATGGCCGCCTAACTGTTTTTCTAGTTCCTCCTGAAATATTTTCTTAGCTTGATTATCATCAAGTGAAACCCTAAGAGGCTTACTTACGGTGTCTTTCCTACGTCCAGCAAGCCTCAAACAAATACGTGCTCGCACTAGGGCATGATCTGAATCTAAACGTGTGCACCAGAACGAGCGACAGTCCTCTATCGAACATCTCCATCGGTGGCTGATGGCGATTTGATCTAGTTGTGTCCAACGTTGAGACAACTTCGGGGGTCGCCAGGTCAAAAGGTGTTTTTCTTTATGCTTAAAATTAGTGTTTGCTAGAAATAGTTGGTTATCTGAGCACAGTTGCAACAGACGGTCGCCATTGTCTGTTCTTTGAGCCGCGAGACCGTAACATCCACCTAGGTGTCTTTCATTTTCACTCAGTCTACCTACTTGTGCATTGAAGTCACCAGCCATTATAACTATATCAGAGCGCTTAACGTTCTGGAGGAGGTCCGAAAGCCTTCTGTAGAACTCATTTTTTACATCATCTGGGCTGCAGTCAGTGGGGACATAGGCTGATATGACGAAGAGGCAACGACGAGTGTCCCTATCTTTCCGAGTCCTTACTGTCCCGTTTAGTCGGACGGCGCACAAGCGACTATCTACAGGGATCCAGTCAAGGAGAGATTGTTCTGCCCTACGACTCTATGCTATACCTACACCGGCGAGGCCCCTAGAAGCAGCATCAGGGCTACCGGATACACGAAGGGTAAATCGAGCTGCTTCTTTATCTTGACACGGTGAGGTCAAATGAGTGATGCTACTCGGATCCTGTATGCGCGTTTCCGAGACGCAGCACACATCGATGGAACGAGATTCTAAAGTCCTAGCTAATGATGTCTGTTGCCCTATTTGACACAATGTCCGTACATTGAATGCTCCAACATGTAGTTTGGAACGGGGTTTAAGGAGACCAGGAACGACGTTTCGCAAACTCGCATCGTTTGCATTAGCTGTGCACTGTAATAAATGAATGTGAGAAGAGTTAGTTGTGGAGATAAGAGAGGTATTAGGGAATGTAGGAAGGATTTGATTTTGAACAATTCGGTCTCGTGTGCTGTTACGGGTATGAGGGCGGTTATCACTTCCCGGCTGCCCACACCGTGGAAGGTTGTTTCTTGACGAACCTGAAAAGGAAGATGGATTAGTGTTGGTGCGTGACCGCAGGGTCCAAGGGACAACTGCTTGAGGCCGGTCACGCACGGCCTTTTTATGAGAGGTTATTTGAGGATTAGCTCCGTTTTTAAAGGCCCTTAGTGGGCACCCTTACCCAAGGAGACGGAAATCCGTGAGGTAGGGGAGGTGTGACATTTTTAGGGCCGACCTTTTCTAACCCTTCCTTCCTTGTGAGAAGGCAGCATCGCTGCAGATGCTGGTTGTCCAAGGGAAACACCTTACTGCTGTCACACCCCTCTGCAGTCAGCAGTACGACTTCGCCCTCAGACCTTGGGTAGCTGCTTTTAGTCTCATCGTTCTCCAATCGACCAGCCTGGCATGGTAGGACCTGCAGGAACATGTGTTCCAGCCAGTATAGCTCGGTTGGGTCATCACGATAGGCAAGCCCGACCACCACGTCAAGGTAGCAGCTTCGGTCGGGAGTGAAATAGACTTAGAAAGATAAAGTGATGAAGAATCAAGAAGTTTAGGATTTGAGAGAACACAAAGAATGAATGCACCTGCACCATTGCAAACGATTTTGAGCCATGTCATTCTGGGTCTCTAACCATCGGTGACTTTCGTCTCGCGGACCCCAACCAGGTAGTCGACACCTACCAACATGGCTCAGGCCACTTGTCAGTGACTTCATGGATTTCTTCCATGTTTAGGTCTGGCCGCCCCTAGCTTTCTTCCAACCTATTCCTGTATGGCAAAACATAGCTCGACGAGGTAGTTGGTCTTTAGGCATTCGTAACACATGTCCCAACTACCTCAACTGATGAAGTTTCAATGCTTCATCTATTGATCTGCCATCCTTACCTAGCACTCGTTTCCCAACGACAGCATTGCTTACTCGGTTGTCCCACGATATACGAGCAATGCTTCTTAAACATCTATGATTGAATACTAGTAACCTACGAATATCTTCTACTCTTAACGGCCATGTTTCGCATCCATGTAGGAGAACGGAGCGAACTGATCCGCTTTGTGTAGCTTCTGTAATCCGTATAACCTTGATAAATGAGTACCTATCGGCTCGATTGTTTTGTATATGTTTGTTGGGATTACTTGTTCATCTTTGAACTTTTTTTGAAAGATCTGGTTAGTTCATTCTTTATTTTAACATTGACGTCTCTTTGGTGGTTTAGTTTTCGAAATTTTAGATGATCAGTCAACGCACAATGAAATTAATAAGATTATAATTACCTGTTTACATTATTTCTTTATTCTATTCAATTCAAATAAAAAAAATAAACTACTTTTCATGTACCACACAATTACAATCACTAATAAGTTTATCTACCATTTCACCTAACAACTGTATACAAAGTGAACAATTATTAATTTTTTTGAAACGACTAGGATCAATGTTACTAATGAGAGCATTGAATTGTTCTGTATCTGATACAATTTGATTAAAATATTCACGTAATTTCTCAGCTAAATCATGTCCAATTCGATTATATTCTGACAGGACTTCATGAATCACATCAGTGAGTTTATAATGTGTTTTTGATGAAGATAAAGACAGTAATAGGGCATCAGCAAATGTTGGTTCATTTAAACCATATTCTGAATAATATGGAATCACTGTTGGATATGTATAAATATTGTTTTTGGCATATTGTAATTCTTTTTTTATAGACCAATAAGCGTCATTGGTTTGATTGATAGACTTGAAACAGAAGAAAAAAAGTAGTAAAAACCATAACAGTAAGAAAACGAGACGATGAAATTGTTAAATCTTAACGAGAGAAAAAATTTTCTGATCTTAATTATTAATGATTTCACAAATTCATAAGCTTTCCAATAATGATATTTTGTTAACTATGATGGCAGTAGAGTTTCAGTTGAACACCATAAATAATTTTTCATGTTCCTGACATAAAATTTTATTGATAAGATATGATTAGCAGTTAACTATTACAAATATACACCTTAGGTTTATATTACACTTTAATACTTAAATTCATACTGCGTAAATAGTTCACATTACCATTATTTCACTGGTTTGTAGATAAGTGGTTAACACACTGCGGACTTTTACTTAGCTTTGATACCTGCTTTAAAAAGGATTTTGATTCATCTAGCTTAGTATTATATGAGATTGGACGAGGGACGAGGGACATAGTTAATTAGCTCTTATCAATCCGTTTAGGGTCATGCTTATTATTTGGCCCAGAAATTAAAATGAGTATGATGTACACTGGGAAGTGAGCAGAATACGGATGAACACTAAAGAGGAGCAGCAGTCTGACACTTATCCACTCCAGTCGTAGTCATTCTAAATGCATGCCTCAGTTGTAGACAGAGAACATCAGGTATCACATGAGTGATAACTGGATAAAAACAGCTTTTAGTTTGCACAAAGTGTATGAGGTTGCCACTTTTACTCGTCGCCACCTAGTTTACAACTCTCCTCTGTGGCAGGATATTCAACCAACGCATTTAAGTGCCAGTCAGTACATCAGTCCTCTAAACGTGCTGTATTGAGATAATTTAATTAGTCGTATCATTCACTCATCATCCTGAGTTGCAACCCATCGGTGATTAGGTCAAGATTACAAAGCGATACCGGTTCTCATGTCACTTTTAGCTAGTTTTTATGGAGCCAAACAGGATGAAATCCTACCTGCTTCAGTCTGGAAATCTGCATACATACACGACAACTGGACGAATCAATTGTCGATTTGCCGTTAGTACAAGGAACAATGATGTAAATATTGCTGATTATCAAACAAACCGCGAGGTATAGGCACAGATGCCATCAAAAATTAGTCACTTATCTTTACCCATTTTCCAAAGTAAAATCGTTAAACGCATGAAGCTCAGCGAATAGGTCTGTTTTTAACGAATTAGTTATCAAGCTTCATAATATATCTATATATATATATATATATATATATATATACTGCCGGTCCCAAGCCCGGGTAAAGGAGGAGGGTTGGACATGGGGTCGGCGACCCCATTCCGTTGAAATCTCACTTGCCAAAAAAACGCTAACCAGAAAAAATAATTCAAACCATTTTAACTCTGCCCTGGGAGTTGGAAGAAGAATTATGACGTCTCGTGATGAAAGCCGAGTTCCCTCGGAAGTCACGGGGCCGATGCCTCTTCTGACAACCAGAGCAACCATGCTTTTAGGTACATGGAACGTTCGCACATTGTGGGAGACTGGAAGACTATTTCAAGTTGCGGCAGAAATGAAAAGATACAACCTCGAGGTGCTCGGCATCAGTGAAACGCATCGGACACAAGTAGGACAACTGAGACTAGCTTCAGGGGAACTGCTATTATACTCTGGTCATGAAGAGGAAAATGCTTCACATACACAAGGAGTTGCACTGATGCTGTCCAAACATGCACAAAAGGCACTGATAGGATGGGGATCTCATGGACCGAGGATCATCAAAGCATCCTTCAAAACAAAGAAAGAGGACATTACAATGAACGTCATCCAATGTTATGCACCTACCAACGACTACAATGACGACGTTAAAGATCAATTCTACGAAAGGCTGCAGTCAATCGTCGAGAAATGCTCACCAAAAGATTTGACGATTCTTATGGGAGACCTGAATGCCAAGGTTGGAATGGACAACACTGGATATGAAGACTTCATGGGACGACATGGACTGGGAGAAAGGAACGAAAACGGTGAGAGATTTGCAAACCTATGTGCCTTCAACTAACTGGTCATCGATGGCACAATATTCCCGCACAAACGCATACACAAAGCCACATGGATTTCACCGGAATACACGACTCAAAACCAAATTGACCATATCTGTATCAACAAAAAATTCAGAAGGACTATGGAGGATGTGAGAACCAGGAGAGGGGCTGATTTAGCCTCAGATCACCACTTGCTGATCGCGAAAAAGAAACTGAAACTCAAGATACACTGGACAACGGGGCAGACAACATCACACAAGTTTAATACGGCCTTTCTTCGGGATACCGTGAAACTCAACGAATTCAAGATAGCCCTCACCAATAGGTTCCAGGCCTTGCACGATATACTCAATGGAGAGGATGCAACATTGGAGAACAATTGGAAAGGGATTAAGGAGGCAATCACTTCAACATGTCACGAGGTTCTGGGTCACAAGAAGTACCATCACAAGGAATGGATCTCTGTTGGTACTCTTGAAAAAATTGAAGAAAGGAGGAACAAGAACGCAGCCGAACAAGAGCAGAGAAAGTTACCACACAAGCTGAATACACAGAAGCAAACAGGGAAGTGAAGAAGAGCATTAGTGCTGACAAACGAAAATATGTGGAAGATCTAGCAATGACGGCGGAAAAGGCTGCAAGAGACCGAAACTTGAGACAATTGTACGAAACAACAAAGAAGCTCGCCGGAAACTGTCATAAACCAGAACGACCAGTGAAAAGCAAGGAGGGTAAAGTAATCAGCAACACTGACGAACAGCGAAATAGGTGGGTAGAGCACTTTAAGGAACTCTTGAATCGACTAGCTCCACTGAACACACCCAACATCGAAGTAGCATCCACGGACCTCCCAATTAATATTGGCGAACCTACGATTGAGGAGATCAGTATGGCCATCAGACAAATCAAGAGTGGCAAAGCAGCAGGACCAGACAACATTCCAGCAGAGGCAATGAAAGCAGATGTAGAAGCAACTGCGAAAATATTTTACATCCTCTTCAAAAAGATTTGGGATGAGGAACAAGTACCATCAGATTGGAAAGAAGGAAACCTGATCAAAATACCAAAGAAAGGCGATCTCAGCAAGTGTGAGAACTACGGAGGCATCACTCTTCTTTCAATACCAGGCAAAGTCTTCAACAGGGTATTGTTAAACAGAATGAAGGACTTCGTAGACGCCCAACTTCGAGATCAACAGGCTGAATTTCATAAGGATCAACCAAATCGCTACATTACGGATCATTGTGGAACAATCAATTGAATGGAACTCACCACTCTACATCAACTTCATCGACTACGAGAAAGCATTCGATAGCGTGGATAGGAAAACACTATGGAGGCTTCTTCGAAACTACAGTGTGCCTGAGAAAATAGTTAACATCATACGGAACTCTTATGATGGATTTGACTTCAAAATCGTACACGATAGACAGCTAACAGACTTTTTCGAGGTGAAGACCGGTGTCAGGCAAGGTTGCTTACTCTCACCGTTTCTCTTTCTCCTGGTCATCGACTGGATTATGAAGACGTCGACATCTGGAGTGAAGCACGATATCCAATGGACAGTTTGATGCAGCCAGACGATCTGGACTTCGCAGATGACTTGGCTCTTCTATCGCACACTCAACAACAAATGCAAGAGAAGACGACCAGTGTAGCAGCAGCAGCCTCTGCAGCAGTAGGTCTCAACATACATAAAGGAAAAAGCAAAATTCTCCGATGCAACACAACATGCACCAACCAAATCACTCTTGATGGAGATGCCTTGGAGGACATTAACACCTTTACATATCTGGGCAGCATCATCGACAATCAAGGTGGATCCGATGCAGATGTGAGGGCGCGGATTGGCAAAGCAAGGGCTGCATCTCTACAGTTGAAAAATATCTGGAACTCCAAACAACTTTCAACCAAATCCAAAATCAGGATTTCGAATACAAATGTCAAGACAGTTCTACTGTATGGAGCGGAAACTTGAAGAACAATCAAAGCAATCACCCAGAAGATACAAGTGTTTATTAACAGTTGTCTACGCAAAATACTTCGGATTCGTTGGCCAGACACCATCAGCAACAACGTACTGTGGGAGAGAACAGACCAGATTCCATTGGAGGAGGAAATCAGGAAGAAGTGGTGGAAGTGGATAGGAAATACACTACGAAAAGCACCTAACTGCGTCACGAGACAAGCCCTCACGTGGAACCCTGAAGGCAAAAGGAAAAGAGGAACACCAAGGAACACATTACGCCGAGAAATAGAGAAAGATATGAGAGGAATGAATAAAAATTGGATAGAACTGGAGAGGGAAGCCCAGGACAGAGTTGGTTGGAGAAAACTGGTGGGCAGCCTATGCTCCATTGGGGGTAACAGGCGTAAGTAATATATATATATATATATATATATATATATATATTCATGGTCAACCAACATATATATATATATATATACGACTGTACAGCTTGACAATGAAATCACACTGCGTAGATGTATGCACAAATAAAAAATGTTAAGTACCAGACAAAAATCTTCTCTAAAGCTTGATTAAAAAACGACGCATCCTTACCCACATACGTTGAATATGTTCTCTCTCCTCCGTCAATCGTATCAAACAAGCCCATGTTGATCCAAAACGTTTTACAATCGAGGAAAAATTATTCCAATCTGGATTTATTTTACTTGTTGACATAGTTGACGAATTAGATATATGCTTTTCAGTAAGCATCAAAGCAGCTTCACAACAACTTCCTAAAAGAGCACCACGTGATAGTTGTACAAAAGAGAGCCATTTCTCTTTGGATAGTTTATATATTTCATTAGATATTATAATTGGGTTGATATCGATACTATTTTCAATATAGTGATTGCAATTATTAGTACTTGATTCAATTGGATTCGTAGCTAATTCATGAAATTCCGCTTCTAACGTGCTTCCCATTGCTTCGGATACAACATCGACAACCTAATATTCAATGATTTTAAAAGAGAATGAGATAATTAAAAAGTGTCAGAATGATGTTGAAAGAGTGAATATGAAAGATGACAAAGCAGAAGTCTATGATAAGTCTATGACAACAATTTTCAAACACATTCTATGCGACTACACAGCAATATTTGAAAGGATAATTTGACAGAAAATAGGAATCGAGCATACAGAAGATACTGCGTAAAAATCATACGTCAAAAAATTTCAGAGACTGGAAGTTAAATAATCTCAACGCTTTTGTCCAACAAAAGTATGTATGTATATATACATTTATACATTGTAATACTGTCCAGGTAGATATTAGACGTCATTTATCTATCATAAATAGTTTGTTATAGTTTGAGAACGACCAAAAGAATTACAGAATATGTTTGCAATATTTACACCTAGAGTTAGTGGGACATAAATTAGATTAGAGGATGATTGAGTTGCTGCACGCTGATTGGCTCTTCTCTATCCAATCAGCGCCAACTGATACTGAGGGAATATTCTAGAATCTTCTCATGTAAGAAGACTAAACATACTGACGTCTCTTTCCTTTGTACCTTCTGACTTCCATCTGGCCTTGTTATTGGAATATAATCTATTTCCTGTTCAACCATGCTTTGATTTGGGAGAACGTCTCGAGTGAATTGGTGTCCGACAATACTAAGCATTCTGAATAGCTGGGTTGTTATATAAAGAGAGAATTATAACACCGTCTTTAGTTACTCATTTGAATCTTGTTGTGTTTTCTGCAAGTTTGTTCTAGAATTATTTCTTTCGTTTTTTTGCTAGTCCCCAAGTACTCTGAACATGTTGTGCTTTTGTTCTTGTATAACTCTTCCCACTGGAAGCAACTTCCAAGCGAGACCCCACCACATATTACTTATAAGCAATCTTGTGAGTAGTATTGACCACGGTAGGACTTCACCACAGATATATACGAAACAAATCACGATATTTGTCGCTTTTATAGACATTTCTTCATGGTCAGTCAGTCGGTTACAACTTAGAACTTCGTACGCAAGCACATCAGTTCATGTTGCCATACTACATTAGCACAGAGACGCGATTGTCAGTTAAATCCCATAGTGGTACAGATAGTAGAAGTATTACTGGTAATGGAGATTGGGGTTCCAAGATACTATTCCAGAAGTATAATTCAGTGAGATAAGTTTAGAGAAATTCTGAGGAATTCTGAAGATTAGAATTTCAGAAAACACAAAGAGTGGATACACCTGCGCCACTGCAAACGATTTTGGTGATATTTTTAAATATTATTAAAATTGTCATATATTAAATCCATACTGTGAAAAAGTAAATGATAGATTAATATTTAGTGTACTACGAAAGTTCCCTTTTTACATGCACTTCTTTACAACGAATAGTGACCATAAAATGCATAAACTAATTCATTCATTATATACTTGGATGACAGCTAATCACACTTTTTTGCCTAAAGTGAAGTAGGAGCAGCGTAGTTCAGGCCTGCGACTTAATAGTCGAAAGTTTTTATGGATTACAGAAGGGAATCATTAGAACATTTCGAACAAACTTTCGAATGGAAAGCTTGTTTTATTACTATAAATACATGTATAATGATTGATTCAAATCGACGTACTTTGGCATGATGTAATCTAGATAAACTGGTTGAGACGGATGCAAGTAGAATATCACCAGACAAAGTTGCTAATTTATTGCAGACTTCCATATTTTTTAACCATGTTTCATTATTGTCAGTATGTTGATTTAAATCATTTAAATCGACTAAACTTCTGTTAAATAAATACAGAGGAAAATGTGTAGAAACTACAAAGATGTAGTAATACTTGAAAACAACTAATTATCAAAATCAAAAAAAAAGCTGATCCAACACTTAGGAGATAAAAAAAAACTCACTATTAATTGCTGTAATGATCGAAATGTTAAATTTTGGTGATTAAGAAGAAGTTAGGAGGATTACAGACTTACATATACCTTTAGCAGTGAGACAATGTACGTAATTACAAATTTTAAGAAAAACCATCAACTAGCCTGTCAGAAATAAATCATCAAAAGCTTTCATATATTTGGCATGATCTGGATCTAAAACAGTAACTTTATAGAACAGTCAACAGTTGGATGTCATGATTCATTTAACTATCTATTTAACTCTGAACTTGTAACTGGATTGTAACGGTGACATAGTGCTTAATGAGTATTACTTTATCTACGCCAGTTTGGATAGATTAACATTACTAGATCTTAAACTTAAAGTGACAGCCAGCCAGTCATTGAGTACAAACTGGTACAAATCTGTATCGGTCCAAGTTATACTTGGCAGCAGCAGAGGAAAAAAGATTTACAGGATATGAAGAAGTCCACAAGATCAACTGTAGTGAACAGTTAAATATAACAGAGACTTAACAAACTCAATGAAACCGAATAATACTACGCATCGGATGATAATAATAATGACAGTAATAAGGATCATAACTTATATCACGTACAAGCTACTGCGCTTTACTTTCAGCCATATTGATCCTGTCAATCTGTCAGTTATATGGAACGTAGAGCCTGCTACGCGTGTATATCAATTCAAGTCGTCACTACTCATTAGTATGATGAGATGAAATTATCGGAGCAAATCTCACAATAAAGCTAGTAACAGTGTTACAGGTGACAGAAACGATTAGGTATCTAAGATACAACTCAAGAAAATATGGACTAGTGAAATTTATGCTTTAAGGCAATACAAAGACTGGATGTACACAAACGATTTCGAGCCATGCTATTCAGAGTTCCAAACCATTGGTTACGATAATCATACAGATCTTAACCAAGTAGTCTACACCTAATGACATAAATCAACTGTCAATGACTTCATAGATTGGTGAGTGGTACTATCCGACATCGCAAATTGAAATAGAAGGAAATCCGAATGTATTTATGGGAGTTGTATTTAATAATATATAGCCCCATAACATTAAGTTCACGAACTAAAATACCTCAAGGCTAAACAAATGGAAATAGACTTGAAAGCTGGATTGTACTTCATGTAACGTATAACTAGAGCAGTCAAGTTATTTTAATAACTTATTGAGAACAACCTCATCACGTTTAAATGCCACATGGTGTTTATTAATTAACTGAAAAACACTTCTGAAGCTAATTTCTGTGTATAAACACATCAGAATACCGAATAACCATGATCAGAATGTACCATGTCAGTCTTCATAAATTTTAAATAACAGACGGGAGAGACGAAATTGCGTGATTGTGTGTGCTGATTTAGGCTCTAATCTGTTGTGGTATAGACCTATTACCCAGACACTAGTAGAGCAGTGGTGTTTGAACATACGTTATGTGGGAAATAACCTAATGGACTAAGTGATTGATAGTTTGAGGGGCTACAAAGTTATTATTACACTACATTACAAAATATTCACTTTTTTGTGCTTTATGCTTACATTAACTTCCAATGCATGAAAACTAACTTACTTGTGAATAGCTAATGCAGTGTGAACTGTTTCGAATATTTCTGAAACACTTCGGTGTTGACTACACAATTTTGTTGAGTTAGTGGGACTAGCATACGACTGGCCAACCAGAAGTATAATTAACCCACCGGAAGGACGTTCAGATGTTACGGTTGTTGAAGAAAGATCCGACAGACCAGAGGAAATAGAAAACAGGTCACTAACGGGTCCGCTTCGAAGACATGAGCGCACGGTTGAGAAAAATGGATGGTTGACATTTCCTGCCAGTCGCCGAGCTCGTGATGCTAAAGAACCAGCTTCAGAAGATAATATGATGCCTAAATTAATAAACGGTGCTGGACCACCAAGTAAATTTTCAGCCCGAGAAATTAATTTTGACCATGTTGTCATATTAGAAAATAAAACAGGCTGTGAACACTGTGACTGTGACAGTGATTATACAGAAGGCGGAAGACTAAGTTGGGAAAGCAGGCTATCTAGATCAAGCTCATTCCAACGAATGTTATCAAAAACGTCTGAATTCGGGATCTCAGTAAACCTCTGAGAACCAAGAGGTTGCGGTTCTGGATCAGGAAGTGAATTAGGCTTAAGCAAAATTAATTCGAAGGGTAATATATCGTCTCTCCAGTCAACTCTAGCTAAGTCAATTAAAGAACCATCAGGAAGATATTCACCATCAGACATCTAAAAAAATAAATTAAACGGAGGGATATAATTCGATTCAAACAGAACACGACATAACAAAACGAAATAAAAGAACTTACAAAGTGCAGTGAGATTTAATTATCTATTGCCTAAAAGTTGCCACCATGACTGAGTTAGAATACTACAGCCTTGCGTAAAAACTATACACACCAGTGGCAAAACATCTTCGTATAGTTCCTGTTATTTTTAAAATAATAACAGAAAATCGTTTTGCTGCTAAGCTGGAAACGAGGATATTGTGGGCGCTAAACCTTTTTTTCTTTACTGTGTTGCATGTGACAGTAAAAATGAACTCAAGGCCTGAAATTGTCAACACAATTACATTAATTTGGAATGAATTATAACCGAAAGACAAAATATTTTGCAGATGAACTGATGTTTTTTGGATTTGGAAACCCAAATTTTTTGGAAATTAATTTATCAACATATCTGCAGAGTAGTTTTTCATTAAGACTGTGCCAGTGATGCAAACGCTGACCATACATACCCAACCAGTCATCATCTCTTAACACGAACACATCACTGTGGAGACTCGGGATCCTACCTAGACTGGAAAAGCTTCAAACGCATTTTTAAATGCTCGTTTTGATATGGTGTCATGTTTTAGCTCCACAGAAAACGAAGGCTAACAATACACAAAGCGGCATTACAAGGATATTTTCGTGTAAAACCAGTTTATATGTGATACTGTTTTCTTCCTAAAAAACCACTCATTTTCCGAAGCCGCTTTTTGGCTGGCTAAAAAGTGGTCTTAAATACTTTGAGTTTGTTTATAGTTCTTTGCTTTCTAGGCTCTAACAGATTATTCATCTAAATTATTTGTATTTTGGTTAACTCCTGAGTAAACTCTCGAAGGAAAAATTTTATTTACCTAGATTTCAGGAATAATATTGTTTAAATATGATAATGTAAGCTCCTGACATACCAAAAAGTAGGATCACAATACCACTGAGACTCGCAGGTTATTGAAGAAGGCGCAGTGAAATTCAAACCTCAATGCTTTTCTCGTGGTCTGGTATAAACCACTTGATTTCTTTGCTCTCGCTTCTTGTTCTTTCTGTACAGTTCCATTCACTTTCAGTGTCCAGTGAATGATAATCTGGCCACTCTTTACATCAAGGTTGGTTTATGTATAGTAGAACAAGCCTATTTACAGAGTCGCTACCGGTCTTGGGTTTCTGGAATGTTCAGGAACCAGATAATTCTAATAAAGTCTTATTCAATCCTGATTGCGTGGAATGCTAGCTGTATGAATTATCAGTGTTAAGACCACGTGTTACAGTAAAGAGTTCCATTCTTCGATGATTTGATGGGATGGTCACTAGTCAGCTGATAAGAAATGTGCTTCGGGCCTGCAGACATTTTCAGCCTGTCCTCATAATATCAAAGATAATGGAAGGACTGGTGGATCAACAAGTGGGGTAGTACATGGATAAGAATAAAATACTCCATGAAGGTCAACACGGGTTTTGGAAAGGCAGGTCACGCACATCCAACATTATCATAGCATGGGACAGTTGGACATCCTGCTTGAACCGAAAAATACCGGTGCACGTAATATTTCTCAACTTTCGACGCAGTGCAGTGAAATACTTGAACAAAGAGAACGCAAGTTGTGAAATGTAAGCATTCATTACCATAATCAATTGTACCAGCGATTCTTTTACAGTACTTTTTGTTTATAACACTTTTTTACGCGCAACTTTCTGTTTGCGTTGCTGCCATCTTTGATGTAGCTGCTCTTTATTCTGCCCTTTTTCTTGGATTAATTTTTCTGTCCTTTCAAAACCACGAAATCACCGGCAAATATATTCCTTACTCTGGATTTATTTGTCTTTACTATGACGGGCTAGTAATCAGTACTTAGTGGTGATCATGGACAATTTCGACTCGATCACCATTAAAATAGTACCCCACGCATGCCTAATCTCAAAGGTTGACCCACTCCCATCTTGGCTCTGAAAACTACCTTGAGAATAGAAAGTTTCGTACCAAGGTAAGTAGAGTGCTAGCGAGTTGGCGAATATCCACATCGGGAGTTTCACAGGGGACCATCTTAGGTCCACTTCTCTTCCTGATATTTATTTACGACCTGTTAAGCGTTGATCTACGCTGACGATGCAAAGATGTGGAGGTGCATTACTGCAAACTGAGAATTGGCAGTGATAAACGGTTTAAAAACTAAATCAGCCGAAATGCTACATCATGTACATTCTGCCCCATACGACGCAAACGATTTACACCCTCAGTGGAATTTCGCTCCTAATGTCTCTTCTCAGCGCGGTCTCGGTTTGATAACCCCAGAAGGCTTCCATACATGCCCGAACTATATAGGAGACGCACCCGAGGCAAATGCGACTCTTCACTTTATGCGAAGATCACCCCACAGTTATGCACGCCAAACCTTCCCAACGTGAGCAACCTACTGATGCATCACCACCAATCCCCTGCGAGGCAATCCTCGAAAAATTGTGCATACTTATGTTCGGGCTCGCTTTTTCTCATTAAGAGTCGTCGTAACTTGGGATGCTCTCCGACCGGAGGTGACCACAGCCCTTTGGCGAGATTATATTTACTGCTCTTCGCGAGATTACCAAGTTAAATCCCGATAGATCCGGAAATCCGAACGCAGATAGTATCTGAATGAAGAGGTTGTAGAATATAATTTGAATGTTTTATTCCTACGTTATGCTACTTAGAGTCTTCAGGAGACGAGGAATTATCAAAATTGGAGATCTCACCCTTGCATAATATCTATGGGTCAAGAACTTCTGTTAATAAGTCAGCATCACGGACTTCATCGTATCTGCCGTTCGGAGCAAGTGGTGCTCGACTGACGACTCATCCCCATGAGGTGGAAGGTAAAACCCGGATAAGATATGACCAGCTTTACGACGTGTTGTACAAGTTCATGTGGGTTAATTGGATGAAGTTGATACTACCATTAGGTCATGCTACGATAGATAGGGGAATCAAGGACCTGATGGGAAGGTACAGGTACATAGTTAGCTTGATAGGTCATATCCATGTTGGAGGGCGGGTAGGCGTACTGCTGTAAGTCATACCCGTTCTTCCGGTGTGGATGAGGGGATGAGAGTGAACCCTAAATTGAAGTGTCAGAAGGGGCTTGTTTTGCATGGAGGGATTTTGCGGATCGGTGTAGAATCTATTTTGAAGGTTTTGTTTATTTCGAAAATCCTTCCATGTATATATATATATATATATATATATTTGTGTTATGATATGACTGACTCTTTCTGTTGACATTTTGGTAGTCTATTTGGTTCCATTTTGAGATTTTATCATTGTATATTGTTATTATTTCTATATCTTGTACTTATATTGAAGTTTTTATGTTGGCTTCTGAACTGTACGCATGTTGTTTAAATTTGATATATAATATGGTTACAGCCATATTTGGATTTGATACCTCAACAGTACGGACTGGAAGCACTTATTATTCCAGAAACGGAACCTATTGTGGTAATTGGAAACTCGAAGGTGTAGTAGTGTTTTTGGTAATTGTCTGTATTTCCCTTTTTATCATTAAATGGAACCGTTTCCTCCCAGAATTATCGTTTTTGGTCCCGGACTGGGTGAGACGCGTATGAACCTGCACTTTTCGAGTTGGAGCGAACTGGAGGAGGAATTATAATTTTATAGGGGAGCTGATCGGCCAACGGGCGAATGTAAAGCGGAAGGGTTGGCGAACAGGAAGCGACCAATGAAGCCAGAGTCATTGCTGAAGATCCCGATGCGATCATGTCGAGAAACATTGAAGGTCTTTTCATGAAGAGAGATCAAATGAATAGGTCCTTTGTAAGGCTGTTGCAAAGGTTTGCATACCGGATCGACTCGTATGAAAACATGCGAACAGGTAGATAACTCTCTAGTGAGAGCGACCTGTTGGAGTTATACTCGAGTTGACACCGGAGGCAGTGCTCTCATAAATTCAGACAATCGTTGGACGTAGTCTGATTTATTGAAGTTGTTACTGCCGCGTGGTATGAAAAATTCCCCAGGCAGACGCAGTGTCGTGTCGTATATCAATTCAGCAGCGGAACATTGAATATCTGCCTTTAAACTCGCTCTGATATGTAAGAGGACGAGCGGTAAGGTTTCGCATCAATTGCTGTTTTCGTGTGCTTGAAGAGCACTATTAAGTTCGCAATGAAGCCGTTCTACTAAACCATTCGAAGCTGGGTGGTAGGCAGTAGTGCGTATGCGCTCCGTACCAAGCAGCCAGGTTAGTGAGGAGAATAATTCGGACTCGATCTGTTGTCCTCGGTCAGCTTTGACAGTTGAGGGACAACCGTAATGTGCTATGAACCGTTCTACGAGGCGGTAAGCAACTGTTTCCACCGTAATAGAAGTGGTGGGAATAGCTTCAGGCAATCTTGTGAACCGATTCATGCACGTGAGTATGTGATCGTACCCATGCGGTGGTGGCAATGGTCCTACAGTATCAATCTGAACATGATCAAAGCGAGCATCAGGAGTAGCAAATGTGTTTATAGGGGCGGTTACATGCCTGTGCACTTTTGATCGTTGACACTGTAGGTATTGCTTTAACCACATACGGACTTCTTTGTTCATGGACGGTCAGGCGTATCGTAAAGCGATAAGACGTAATGTGGCTGCGAAACTATGATGAGACAATCTATGGAGGGCGTCGAAGACGAGACGACGATAGGCTGAAGTTGCAATGGGTCAGGGTAAACCAGTAGAATTGTCACATAGGATAGTGCCTGAGGTGGTAGATAGTGGTACCTCCTGGCAGTGAGGGGATGTCGATTGTTGTGCTTCGGCAGCAGCCATAGCAGGAAGATCAAGCGCCGGTAAAGTAACTGCATTCACTTGAATACGTGACAGAGCATCAGCAACATAGTCCGACCCACCTTTAACTTGACTAAGGTCCGTCGTGAGCCGAGATTTAGGGTCTAAATGTCTAGACTCCCGTGGTGAGTGGCAGTCAGGCATGGTATATAGAGCATACGTCAGAGGCTAATGTTCGAATAGAGGACAAAGTTACGTCCTTCTGCTGCGATATCTCTCATTGGGAGCAAGGCGTCGTAAGAAAAATTACAGTGGTGGCCAAATTCCAGAGATAATCTGTTGCACGACGGCTCCTATAGCGAAATCTGATGCATCAAACGTTAAGCTAAGCGCAGCTTTACCTAAAGATTTTTTATCTCTGAAAATACAGTATGAGCGGCATCGTTCAATTCTAGTGTGCATGGATTACCGCGAAGTAAGTCGGTTAGTGGGCGTAACTGTTCTGCCGCGAGAGGAATAAAACTTCGGTAGAAGTTGACCAAACCGAGAAAAGCCTTCAGTTTCTTGAGTGATGACGGTACAGTGTACTCCATGATTGTACGTACTTTGCTTTCACAAGGCAGAATACCCTGATGCCTAATGATGTGACCCAAGAATTTCATTTCTGCCTTGCCCAGTCCACACTTGTCTGGGTTAACTATAACTACTATTCCATTATCCAAAAGGCGCTGGAATAAGAGTGTAAGATTTTGATAATGTTCATCTACGTTTGATGATGCGATTAGCAGATCAAAATCGAAGTCTTGTACCATGCTATCGATAAAACTTTGGAAAGTTTGAGAAGCATCCTGTAATCCTATTGGCATTCGGAGAAACCCAAATAGACCGAAAGGAGTCGTGACAACAGTTTTCTCGATATCTTCAAGAGCGACTGGGATATGATGATATGCTCGTACCAGATCAACCTTAGAATAAGCAGTTGTTTACTTGAGTGATGCCGTGATGTCGTGCATTTAGGGGATGGGTTGATTATCGAAACGTGTTGCTACATTTAATGCTCGGTAGTCGCCACATGGTCTCTAACTCATCCGATCCATTTTGCGAGCCATGCGGAGTGGTGAGGCCCAAGGACTGTAAGAGGAACAAATAATACCAGTAGCTAGTAAATTGTCAAACTCACGTTTAGCGAAAGCTAATTTGTCTGGT